TAGTAGACGATGGGGCGAAGAGTTGCTCGTTCGATCGGAGCCATGGCTGCCAACTGATGGCAGAAGCCGCCTTATATTCCCCGAGGGCAGAAGCTTCGAGAACATTCCATCATATACAATTCAAAGCCCCGCCCATCATTCCTTTGAAAATTTTTAGAAATAGCTTTAAAAAGTGTTGCAAGCCTTTTTTCCAACCCAATACATTTGTTGTGCGTCTCCTCAAAGCACAGCTTTTGGGTGGATCGCATTTCCAAATATATTTTTTTACCGCCAGTAATAAGGGGAAACGTATAAGGCTGAAACAGGGTGTCATGGAGTTCCCTGAGTCTGCATTTTAGAAGAAACAAATTTTTCGTTAAAACGCATCATGGCACCTTTTTTAAGTCCCATTTTTAAAAAGTATTTTTTGATCCAACGAAACTGAGAAATAAATTTTAAACTTCCCTCAGAAATACCTATTTGATGGCTGAGTACAGGAAAAATCCTACTTTTGAAAAATGACCCATTAGAGTAGATTATTGGAGGGAAGTAATTCAAAATGTACTCTCCACCCTTACAAAAAGGGACACATGAACGATTTCAAGTTAGATACACTAGAAATCATAGAAGTAGTGATTTGATGAAAATGATGGCTTTTGTCCCCATATTTCATGCATTTCAATGGGGGACGCACTTTAAATTCGTGTTTACCATTTCGCAAATAATAAATGAATTAATCACGATACCTGGTAATGGAGCACCGAAGGCGCGACCATGGCGAGTTTGTTTTGCCCGACAGGCAAACAAACTCGCTAGTATATAGTTATATTCCGATAGATACATTATCCGACGAATGTTAGGTTAACCCATACATACATTAGGAGGCAGGGGCCTAGGCTAAGCATGTAGCCTCGTCGGGCATTCACGAGTTTAGACGACCGTTTTCAATGCTCGCGTATCAACCGCTTGGACATTGTACGTCTTGCGCACCCCCATCCTATCCCCCCTACTCCCAGGGGTGTTCGTGCCTACGATACGACTTTTCCGGACCCCTAGGAATATATGGGCGGAGATCTCATCCCCGGCAAGAAAGTAATCTATGAGAGGGGACTCCAAGTGTGATACTTTCACACATAATTGCGAAAAAATTCCTTATCGGAGGTGTGAAAAACCGGAGGGGATACTTAGAATGCCCTTCTCTCCCGCGGTAGTGTTAGGGATGGCATGTAGAGGTGTAACTTGACTGTCTGGGTTCGGTGGTGTAATGCAAGCATACTTGACGGACAAGCATTAGGTTCTAGATTCGATTCCAGCTCGTTCCATCGTTTTCGTTGTTCTCTTATGCCATCTGAACTATGCCCCCCACACCACAGCCCTCCCTCGGGGCTGTTACGTTATCGAAGATAGCTCCGACTGTCGCGACAGCCGGGAAAAAAGTGCGAGCGGAAGAGGGGAAGACGTACACCCGGAGGCAGGCATGGAGGCGCCGCACATGCACACGGAGGCCCAAGCAATCTTATACTTTATTTCGAAGAGCCCGAGAGTTGTGGTGGTGGTGGTGGTGGTTGTCACCCCAGCGCGCGAAGCCTACAAGACTGTCACTTCAGGCCAAAGGCTAGGCCATCCACCTCTCAAAGCGCAAGTCCTTATTCTAGGCCATCAGCTTGTGTTATTCTAGGCCATCAGCTTGGCCATCCAAAGCTTTTAGCGCCAAGTCCATTGAGCTATATCAATATGTGCCATAGGCTTCATACTTAGCTGTGTCAATCAAAGGGTAGTAATAACTGAATGCATGTCACGTTTTATTTTTTTCCGTTAGGTCAGGCGTGGCGGTTCGGAACGTCGCTTCCATGCAATAGTTTTCTGTTTGCATTTCATGTCATGGCCGATTTATTTGCGTTCTCGCGATTGATGAAATCAAAATAATAACGTAATTTCTCTGTTTCATACGTCGCGCAAACGGGCCGCTCATCCCATCAAAATGGTGTCGATTTTTGCGATCTGAGGTTGAACATGAAAAAAGAAGTTGAAAGAGGTCCCACAGGACGGCGATGAGGACAGTCGCTGCAGATAATAAATAATGGTGCTGGCGCGGAAACTACGGTTGCCACTGCAGTTGCAGTGCGAAGTGCCTAAATCGGTGCCTTAGGATGTGCTAGTCATAATGGCTAGAATGACTGATGAACAATACCCAGTTGCACGTAGGGAGCGTAAGGCTGAACAGCAAGAGGCAGCAAATGCTGAACTCAGGATTAGGAGAGCCATGCAACATGCTGGGCAACTTGATGCATGCCCCTATGGCATGCATCAGCAAAGTAGAACTTTTCCTGAACTCAGCTTGCGAATGGCTACTTATGTCAATCAGTGAGCTACTCAGGATTTTCCATATAAAATAAAATCAGAATTTTTTCTTGATCCAGCTGTCCATCTGGTACTTATCTGCCATTTTTTTATGTCCTGCGCCGTGTTTTGCTGGATCAGAAAATTCGTGAAAGTTAGCCTTTTCCAAAACATGTGCCCTAAGAAGTTTTAACCAAAACGTACCATTTTTTTTTTTACCGAAGTCCATTCTTAGGGAACTACATGCCAACAACGTTTCAATATTATACGTTTGCCTTTTCGTTGGTGAAAAAACACGTTTGGAAAAGCCAACCCACAAAAAAAGCTATGCCCAGAGGGGAGGCACCATGAAAGCTGAATACTCCCTCAGCTCAGTAATATCATGTCACTTATACGAGTGCCAAGTTTCACCTTTACATTTCCGTCCAATTCGCCACGACATTTTTTTCTTCAAAACATCGCCCCTCGAAAAAATTCCCCAAAGGGATGTATCGAAACTTACCACTTTTATTTAACTCCTTGTCTCAGCTGTCACATTCATGCAAAGTTTCAGTTTTCCATGTTCATCAGTTCAACAGATGCAAAAAATTAGTTGAAATCACCTCCCTTTAAAATGTGTGCACCCGGGCATTTACTTCCAAAGTCTGAAGTTTTCTGCAACATCCCAATAAGTAGTTATGTACCAAGTTTCATCTTTCCACACTAACTCAATACGCCAGGACACAAAAAATACTTGAAAACCTCGGCTCACAAAAACATGCCCCAGGACATGGATCTGAAATTTTGGATTTTTCCTGAACTCATCATCTCGGTAGGCATGTCCATGCCAGGTTTCAGCTTTTCATGTCTCTCCGTTTTATTCAAGCAAAAATGATGTTATGGAGGGGAAATGAGTAACGGGACATGGAAGGCAAAAAAGACCAAATGAAAGCCAAGGAATGGGCAGGAGTTGAACCCTGACCTCCTGATTGCCTCTCAGATATGCTACTACTGCACCACCGAACACAGGACATCCAGTTGATTCTCTGAATGGCATCCTCATCTGTCACAAAATATATGTAAGAAAAACGTTTCCCCCCTAAATTTGTACCCTCAGGGCATTTACCACCAAAGTCGGATTTCTTCTGAACTCTGCATCCCAAAGGGTACATGTGTACCAAGTTTCAGATTTCTAACCCTTCTAGAACATGGTTAGTTAAGTCCAAGAAAATACTGTTGCATTTTAAATGTAATATCATTAACGAGGCGCTCTCAATAGGTTCTATGAGTCAGGTTCAGTTGCCTCAAGAGTCGAAAAAGGAACTGTTATGTTACGGAGGGTCCCAAAAAGGGTGTTCCAGGCCAGCTAGATTTCTGAAGCATTGCAGTGAATGATTAGAATTTCGAATTTAGATTTTTTTTCAGTGCACTAAGAATATATGTGAGAAAATGGAGTTTAGTTTTTCCTGTGAAATAAGAATATCATTGGGAAACTCATTTAAGTTAGATTTTTGTGAAAGAAGAGCCCCTTTGAGTTAAGAATTAATTTAGAACAACTTTTAAAAAATAAGAAAAAACAAATAAAATGGCCAGAGCAGTACTCCCGTCCCCCGTCGGTCTGGCCGGACTTAGACAAATAAGCACTAACAAAAAAGCACATAAAAGAACAACAGCTATATTACTCCTAAAAAAATATCCCTGGCAACGCCGGGTAACCCAGCTTGTTAGATGTATGTTTTTTCAGTCCTGGAAAGGCCAGAACACGGCAGTAGTTAAGAAGAACACGATTCTATTACATAATCTTCAGAAATAGCGAACATATACTTGCAATTGATTAGCTGCAAATCTGCATGAGAAAAATGGGCTTACAATTGTTTTTTTAGACTTTCTGATAATTCCTCCTGTCCAGTCTTTTGCAGCGCGTCTAGGAACGTCCCAAAAGTAGCGGAGTCGACAAGGGTTGTAAGTTTCTCCACAAAAACTTCTTTTCTTTCCTTCTCTTCTCGTGATTGCAGGATTTCCTTCCGATCTACTTGCGAGATTACCTTGGCCTTGAACAAAATGACTGTCAGAGAATCAACAGACTTCAATGACGTTATCAAGAAGTCCACATTCTCCTTGAGGATGTCTTGCTCTGGGCTCATCACACTGTTAAACCGAAAGATTCACATTGAGTCACAATTAAATTTCGAGAAAATAGAATGCCAAGTCACAAAGTACCATGTCATCGGTATGCATCCATGACGCTCATGCTACTCAACAATCGCCACAATCCTAGCTATGGGTTTACCTGTGCAATAAGGTCTGCATTGGACGGAATCCCCACACATTCGTTAGACATACCTTTGGGCATACATGTCTATTTTCAGGTTTCTCAGTTACAACGCTAACCAATGTGATCCAAATGTTCACCCTGATACCTCTGCAACGACCTATGGAGAGGTCATAGATCCAATGAACATAGTGCAGCGTGGACCAGAAGTTTGAAAACATATTTGACCTCCAACCAAAGTTTGTATAAAAAAAGAAAAAAACAATGGAACTGGGCAGTAATACATACTAAAACACATGCTCATGAATCATAATAGCCGTAAAGCCTTTCACAAAACTGCTCAGTGTGTCCACTGTTCAAGTTTTTCACTTACGACGGTCTTACTGGTAGGGATAGGCAAACTTACTGGCATAACTCCACTAGCAAACTCTGCTTTATGGCATCAATAGTGTCATGTAGTGCTTGAAGTGTCGAAGATTGCATTGCATTGCACAGCGTCATTGATTAAACCCAATAAAAAATAAATCCGCTGGAATAAAGCCCAGCGACCAAGCCGGACAATCTATTGGCCTATACCGCATGATCCACTGACCGTGAAACATTTTGCCCGAGAATTCGTGAATCTGGTGAGCATAATACACCTTAAGTAAAGTTTTCCCCAATTCATTTGAAATGACACTATCGTTGCCACAAAGTGGAGCTTGCTAGTGGAGTAATATGCCAGCGACATTGCCTATCACTACCGGTAACACTGTCCTCGTGCAAAGACTTGAACAGCGGACACAAACAGTTTTTGTGAAAAGCTTTGTGGCTATAAATTCTTCATAGAAATGTGATTTAGTTCGCATCACTGCCTAGTTCAATTGCTTTTGAAGAAAAGTTTTCTTGTAGTTTAAACGTGTTTCCTTACTTCTGGCCCACCCTGTATGCATTCGGGCGATATATGCATACGATTCCATGATATCCATGTTGCATACAGGGGGATATATATATTTTTATGCATTTGTCCTCATTCAGTACCAGCGCATTTGCCCTTCACGCGAACGAAATCGAGATACGCCAAAAAGTGGGATTTAATAATGAAAAAGAAATCTGCATCGCTACAACTACTTGTTCACAAAGCTTCAGATCTTCAAAGCACCCGATTCACCGAAGCGAATTGGCTGATATGAAAAACTGAAACCCTAGAGAATGTGGCCTCAGGCTGGGTACTTCTGAATTAGGAACATTCCTTAAATTATTTCACCAGGAACATATATTTTACTTAGCTATTTTACTTTCTTTCTGTTAGCTGCAACACACGGTCACCATGCACAGTCAATTGCAATGCAATTAGGATGCAGACAATTAAAACACATAATTCTATGGAGCACTATTGAGACCTCTCTATCTTGAGCTGAATATTCTCGCTGATGTTTGTGTTTGAATGTCTCTCTTTTCATCATATTGAATAATATTATTGACACTTTAGGCTTTTACTTAACTATTTCGTGTGCTATATCTGTGATGCAAAAAATTATCAACTTCGTATTCAAATAGTTTCATAATGCATGAAACCGAAATACTTTTTAGGACCATCCGTAACATAACAGTTCCTTTTTCGACTCTTGAGGCAACTGAACCTGACTCATAGAACCTATTGAGAGCGCCTCGTTAATGATATTACATTTAAAATGCAACAGTATTTTCTTGGACTTACTTCTGAGAAATCACTCTTGTTGAGGGGGTTTCTTGCGATGAGAAGCGTCCACGAACTGCATTGATGTTGGAGCCCTTCCACATTGCATCTCTTCCATTGAGAAGTTCATTCAATTCTGTCACAATATGTGTAGTAAAATTAGTTAGTGAAGTTTGTGCGACAAATGAACCGAAATCAATGACGAAATGCGTAATGACATTAATTATCTTCTGTTCACTACAAATTGTTCTCATTAGGATTTTTCGGTGGAATTTCTTGGACGCGCATAATGTCTTAATCGAAAATCTGGTGGGGTCTTTACTGGAGCCATGATTTCATTTGTCTGCTGCTATTTTATATGCATCCTCACCTCGTTTCGCTCAAACAGCTGGGGAATATTAGTGAAATATCAACTTCCTTATGAATTAGATATATTAGGCGTACCACTCGTTGTCATAACCTACCACGTTGCAATGTTGTGGCTGAATTATGATGTTGATGTTGACGAAGGGCTTGGATTAAAGTTGGGAGGGCATGGTCTCCCCTTTGAGGCAAATTTTCAAGAAGAAACTGTACTTTTTCCAAATGCGTCTTCTTGCATATTTCAATGTATTCATGGTACTCAAAAATTCCCGAACAATAAAGCTCCTTCAAAATCTCATTCAGATTGGTGAAAAGCAGTTCCTTCTGATTACGAATTAGGATGTGTGCAACGCTCTCCATAAAAAAATTGACATCCATCACTTAAAGGAGAAAGAGCGGTCAACATGCGCGATATCAAAGAGACGTTGGAAATGGTGCTCTTGTATTTCCTTATACCCGCAATAAGAGATAACTAGCTGTCAAGGAATATCACTCCAGACTGGATCATCTTGTATGATGCACCATAAATCACTTCCATTAAATGTTGCTTGTGTTATCTTATCTATTTTCAGGAAGGAATGTTGACGCACATATCAACGTGTTTCTTTTAATGAAGGGCTGTAATGCAAGTAGGAGAACGTGGTCTTCCTTTTTAGGATAGGAATCCTAAATATCTGTCGCCTTTTCTGTCGTCGGCTTCTATGTTATTTTGGATGATTTAAGAAACACAGGCTAATCTTAAGTTCAGTATCACTACTTCCGCTAAAAGGCCATGCTGAATAGCGAAAGCTCGTGGCCTGACTTCTCAGTCCACTCTTCCGTTGTCATCTTGCGCTCCATGTGGCAGTCACCGAAAATCTTGATGTACTGACTTAGGGAGGAACATACGCTGGTCTTGGAATTTCCTTGTTTGAGCCACCAAAAAATCGTTGCAATCCGAAGTATTGGTATCGGCATCGCTCACTCACAATAAATATGAACTCAGACACATTGGGTCACATATTTTGGACTGATGTTGAACATTTCCTGGTGGTGAAGCTGAAAAGAACCAGGACTATCCTCTTACCACTGACACCGATGATTTGTGCAAGACAATATCTCCTTTCTCACTTCAGATAAACACTATCTATGAGTGGTAGCATAGGATGATATGATGATTCACAATGATAGATCATGTCTGTAAATTAGCAACCAGGACACTATTCACATGCTTATGATCCCAACTTACTATTAAAAAATACTCATTTAGATAACGAATGTACGAGGAGTCACCGAAAAGCTTATGCAGACATTTAAAAAATACTATATACTTACTTTTATAGCCATCAAAACTGGTACAAATGAGTATCACACATCCCATAGCCCTCAAAATAATCACTGTCCGAATCTGTGCACTACTGTCACCTACAGGGCAACAATTGCTTACCTGTTCTGTTAATGTCTGTATCTTGATACTGTAGTCTCTTTCCTGTGACATTTCTTATCTGTTCACCACTGAGGAATGGTGTTCCACAAATGTAGTATTTCACTGGCTAAACAGCTAACAGTCGCAGGGGGGCAATATGTGGGTTGTTTCACAACAGTCCATTGAAACAAGGTGGTAATTTGCATTGTTTGTAGTGCGTGTGTGGGTGGGCCTTGTCATGAGGGCAACAGAAATGAATGTCCCGTCCCATTTTATTTGAGAAGCACTACATATTAATGCAATATTCTATTGCCAGGCCTTATAGATCCTCATGAAGGCACATTGGAGGAAGAAACCTGGCGACGGGGCATCGAAACATTTCTCCCTCATGACAATGTCCGCCCATACAAGGCGTTCCAAACAATGCAAGTTATCACGAAGTTCCAATAGACTGTTGTCAGCCACCCATCATATAATCCACACATTGTTCCCCTCCAACAATCAAATGTTTTGCCAATTGAAAGATTACCTTCGTGGTATACGCTTAGGCATTGCACAGCGGGATAAACGCCGATTTTCCTGGACGTAATTTAAAAATACCTAGGTATATACTCATCCCCGAAAAAGTAACACCAAGAAGGAGTTGAGTGAACTTGGATAAATTTGGTAAATATACTGGTAATAGTGTATTATGTAATTGATGCTAGTTTCAAGGTTGGAGGCTAAATATTCGCAGAGAAAACTTGTGAAGCATCCCAATTTAAATGGGGTCGGAGGGTCGAACTTATCGCTCACAAAGAACATCTAGAAGGAGTTTAAAACCGAAATGCGAAACAGGAACTTCTACCGACCTCGATCGAACTGGTGAAGTTGGCGAAACTGAATGGTTGACGTCGTTCTTGCACGGCTTTAAAGACGGCAGATAAACGATTGAAACAAAGCAGAGTGAATGGAAGGAAGCAGAAATAGAAATTGGCCTGATAGTGTAGTCCCCCGATTCCCCATTCCTTGGGACGTTCGGATAGCTCGGCAAGTTTTCTATGCATCGCTTCATCCTATGACCTTGAAACTTTGCCCCTTTCTATTAATACTAAACATCGGTAGAAGTTCCAGTTTCGCATTTCAGTATTAAACTCCTTCTAGATGTTCTTCGTGAGCGATAAGTACGACCCTCCGACCCCATTTAAGGTACTATGGGAAGATGAAAAACGAATCCCCTGAATCGAAATTCCGCTTTATAATTGTTGTAAGAAACCTCAAGAAAGAGGCTTGGAGCCGATTGCTGACTCTCCGAGGTCAACACCCGGGGCCATGAATTGAGGTCAAAGGTCACGATTTACATGCATCTCTTTGAAAATGTGTATCTCCCCAACCATTGGCCGCAGAAACGTCAAATTCGTGCCATTCTCCTTGGAAGATATCGCGCTAAATGGGAAAAATAAATACATGCATGTAACTGTCGTTATCGAGACGCCATGGCGCCATAACTGAGAAATTTTCCATTTTCGGATTCTGTTTTTTCGCTCTCATTCCTCATAGAAATTTCTAATTCAGGTGCTGATGTGCGGAAAACGGGTGCGGATGAATGTCTCCCGCCACGGTTGCTAATTTTTGAGGCATTAAAATGCAGATAGGAAGCAAAAATTTCACATGCTTGACATGAATGAAACGGGGTCATAACACTTCACTAGGAATCCAAATCTTCCAAAGCAACGTGCAGAGAGCTCAAATGATAAAAATACGTACAAATTCATAGACAGAAAGGCTTTTAATACTTCTTGCCCGCAATATCTCCCAAAGAAAGGTAGCATATTTTTTGCATCACCGAGATATGAAAAAAGGACCTTATCCGAATACGGAATTAGTTCCACCCCTGGGCAGAGATCTTCAGAACGAGGTTAATACATTTTGAGTTCTTCACGCAGATCCTTCGAGACGACTATGAAAAATGGCTCTGCCACGAGTACACGAGAAAGTACCACGAGGTACTTTCCTCCGAGACTATGTTGTGGTGGAATGACCCACGATTCAGATGACACCCAAATTGCCTTTCTAGGTGAATCGGTTGCTGAATGATGGGATTTGTCCCAGTTGTGCCTGACAGCATATTGTACAATGCGTGATCCTTCTTTCCTG